GAATTTACATATTTTTATTATAATTTTTCGGAACACTTCACTGTTATGCATTTATACCGCAAAACAAAATTGGTATTTGCACTTTTAATCAAAAAAGCGACTTAAGAATTATTCGACTTTTTAAATAATTATCTTATCATAATTATGCATAATCTTTATTAAATTCATGTTATGGCATCAATAATGTTATTTAATTAATTATTTAGCGGTGTGAGTTCTTACACTTAATATCACAACATTGATGAAAAAGGATCAAAACCAACAAGTCAAAGCATCAAGCTCAATTGAAGAATTAATATTCGAGATTAAATGCAACAAGCTAAGTCGATGAAGATGTACTTTAAATTATAGTACGTAACTACAGATAAAATTTTAATTAGTCACAAATTTACTTTAAATTTATCTAATTTCACGTTTTTATATTATTCATCAGTTCATCATTTATTCGACTAGTCTAATTCGTACCGACTAGGACAACATGGGTGATAGAACTCTTCCTACTAAGTTTTAACATAGCTGCGCTTCCAGAAACTCGAACTCGAGACCACCGATTAAGTTGGAAAAAGAATGGTCCCAAGTTTTGAAAAAGATAAAAAGTGCAATGGAGTTTAGCAGGAAAATCTGTTCGAAGTCCCAAGCATGTCGCAAAAACAGACAAGGAGGTGGACTTGGATTTGGAATCCATGTGAAGAATATGATATATTCAAACAGCCGACATATTTGGCCATAGAACGCATTTATATCAAATCATCAATCCACTGAGCACGGCATTTTCCACTTTCTAGTTGGTCTAAGAATTAAGAAGCCTCTGTCTATTTATCATGACGTCCTATTCTAACTACAATATTACGACATTTCTTGTTCTTTCTAACTACAACCAATATTTTTGCTCTGATTTTTCTTTTTGAAATTAACTTCTTTTTTATTAGTCTTATTTATAGTTCAATTCATTGGTGTGGGAAGTACACTTCAAACAATTACCAGATCCTAGCAAAACACAACTGTTTTCGAAATTAGTAACTATCTCTACTATGACAGCCAGCGAGAAGGACTATCTTTCTTATTTGGGACATCTTTTCACACTAAATAAGGAAAGACAATTTGTTAACAATTGTTTAGGAGGCGCTTGTTATATTTCCCTGCGTTACACAAAATATTATCGAGCTTGTATTTGGACCTATTTCATGAGCCCCGCAGGTTCAAGAAAACAAGAACTCAAACTAATTCCTTTTCGAATATGAATGAGCCTTTTCCATTAAGAGTTTAAATCTTTCCCAAACTCGCACATCTCTAGATAACTCTCTTTTTATAAATAAAGGGTTAAACCTCTTAGATATATGCCTTCTAAATCCTAGACTCTTTTTTTGTCATCGCACACACACATCATCCATTTGGCTTCAAACTTTTTCCTTACGCATAGTGATATGTTATTCCTTGCAGTTGTCTCTTTCATAGACTCTACCAACTTGCAGATCCTACATCAACCACAATCCACTCAGACGAACATTTATATAACTTCATAAGCTATTGTGATCTTATGGCTAGTACATATCTAGTGGTTATTCTGGATTCCTTTAAACAATCTTTGTAAATACTCTTAATTATGTTACAAATACACACCAATTTATTTTATTCTTACCTCTTTCTTAATCTTTTGTGCTATATTATAAATAATATAAGGACACATAGCTATAAAATAATTTAAATTCTAGTGACGACCATCTACAATTTAAAAAGAATCTTTTTGTGACAATTTAAAAAGGTCGTTAGGCTCTTTACCCGTCCTTTTTTCTTTTATTTTATTTTTTTAGTTAAAAAGTAAGTTTAAGATCTTGCACGAAAAGAAATGCATGCAAAACGATTATTTGGTACCTTCAGTGAATAAATTCCTAGGTAGAAGGTGCTGTATTTCGTTCTGTATTTCGTTCTCTCTTCCTCTATATTTTATTTTTCAGCCGAATTCATCCAACAAGAACTGGTCACTACAGCTCCATTTGTTTCTTGAGAAAATGTCCACGGAAATTAAATGGAAATTAAATCAATTACAGACGAGTTAGATAGGATCAACGTTATATATCAAGAGGCTGATAGAGCGTGGCTCTAAGAGAGAATGGAACCGTATCAGAGGCCCATTAATAATGCATTATCGCTAGACGTAAGGATATTAAATAAAGTCAACTCATACGTTTACTTTGAGTCGTCTCATTGACTGAAAAAGTGGTATCCATTCGTAATTAAAGCTACGTGGCTAGACAAGAGCAAAGTTTCTGCCCTCCGGGAGCATAAATCATTCGGTGGGACTCTCGTAAAAGAAAAAGAAAAAGATTGAGAAGAGAGGAGAAAAAAAAAAAAAAAAAAAAAAATTTTAATGCGAGTGTCAATTTTTTAATGGAAAGACCTGGTTCTGGACCACATTAAAAAATTCTGATAGACAAAGAAAAAAACACCGATAATTCTCACATGATGTGTCTGCCTTGCAAATTTCCCACGGTTTTTATACTTACGGAATACCACAACTCTTTTACCTTTATTTGGATCTCCTAAATCAATGCATAATTTTATCGGTAGCCTCAACCCCTAGCTCAGTTGGCAGCTGAGCTCCCAAGGAATTGCTTGGTGCAGGGATCAAACTCTGCGGCCTCAAGCAGTTTCTTGGAAAATCTTTGAGGGCCAGAGGATAAGCTAAAAATCTTTAGTTGGGGGATTAGTCTCGTCCTTTCTCCGATTGCGAAGCTTAGTGCACCCACTGTTACAATGAGGGGCTAGCCCAAACGGGTCGTACCCTGAGGGCATGGTGCCCGGAGAAGGTTGAATGAGGATACCTCCTAGCAATGTACCCAAAAAAAAAAAAAATATCGGTAGCCTCTTCAAGATATTAGTTACATTCCTCCCCAGTATCATCTCTTTGGGAGGAATTTAAACCCTTAATCCCAGACCTGCCCCGAATCGAATTAGTCACGAAGCGATAATTAAATCGATTGGAATATTTAAAAAAGAAGAAGATATTAGTTACATTATTCTTTTTTTTTTATTTGTTGGGGATATTATGTTAAAATATATGCCACGATTGTCAATTTTGTATTAATTTATTTTAAGTTACCAACTTTGTTAGAAAGATATAATATAAAATTATTAATTTATCCAATACCTAATAGCTTACACTTTTTTGCATTGAATTTGATCTTTATATATATGATATTAGAGATGACTAAAATAGTGATAAGTTCGATACTTATTGTCACATATTATTAATAAATAATTAAATATTATAGAATTTTAATTTTAATTTTTATACAATAGTGGTTCAGATTCGAACCTATAATTTCATGCTGACTATTCAAATCTCTCGTCATTGGATTAATCTTAATGCGTTATATTATGGAGTTTCTTAATATGAGTAGGTGAGTCTATTCACTATCTACCATCCATTCTTCAAACTTAATGAACTTGTATGTTAGAAAATATGTTAAAAAAATTATGTAAAATATAAAATTATTAGTGTGTCCTGCTATAAATTTAACTTTTGGGTTGCAGGTGTTCCTCTCTGTCCAAAATAATTATCGAAGTACTTGTTGCAAAAAATATGTTCACCATCACTTGTTTACAGAAATTTAGTGGGAAAGGGTGGAGTAATGTAAAATATAAAATTATTACGTAATGTTTATGAGGATTTAAAAAGCAAGAAGAAACTGACCAAGATTTTGTTTTATAATTTCAAAAACAACTATTGACAACAATCAATAACATATATTTGTACCGTCATCAAACTATTTAAAATATGATAACGGTGCTTGATTGACACCTATAACGTGAAACGTATGTATACTAATATGTTCACCAAAATTATTAACAGGAATATTCATAAATAAATAAATAAACAAAACAACTGTCAACACTTCTCTGGTTGCAACTTGACCATGTGATCAGATTCAAATGTAAGAATAAGTATTATCCCTTTGTTAATTGTAAGTGATTGATTCCCATTCCCACATTATAATATAGGAAAAGAGGTTTTTACTTTTAAACGATATCAGTTGCGTAATTTTAATTTTTAATAATATGTATTATGAGTAGTACATAATTATAATATAAAAAGTTATTTTTTTATCTCTCTTCAGTCACTTCAGCTGACGTGAATAGAGGAATTTTTTTTTCTTCATATTATAATTATGTACTACCTCTCGTACATAATGTAAAAAATTAAAAGAACACAACTTGTATCCTTTAAAAGGATACACAGTTAATCCTATAATATAAATCATCAAAGAGGCCCTCACCTAACAGCTTAAGTTTTTTGATTGAATTGATTCTTAACATGCCTCGATATCCCGGGTTCAATCCTCATCGCTCTCATTTTCTTTGTAGAATTTCTTAACACAGGTAGGCTAGGCCTGATGTATCATACCATTTAAGCTCAATGGACTCTTGTATGATGGGACATGTTAGACTATAATATAAATCATAAAAAACCCTTACCTAACATCTTAAGATTCAAATAACATACAAAGATATATATGAGTTTTGCATTTGTCATGTTGCATGAGAAAAGTTTAGTTTCCTACACATACATCCATATTTGTATTGCATTTTTTAAGATACATGAAATCCTAGTGGCTTTTCTAATCTCTTTTGAACAGCAAAGAATATGAAATCCCAGATATACATGACTATACGTTACAATTTTCTTTGCTTTTAATCGTGGCTCGTTTCTTCAACACTTTTTTATTTCTTCCTTTGACCACCGAACGGCACTTTGAATGTGGAACACTCTGCTATAAATTTATTATGCCGCATTTAGACGTTATGACCGAAGACCAAACAATGATCAAAGTTTCTCTTTCTATAATTGAAAATACACAATAACTAAGCCGCGTTCTCTTATCACATGCCAAATTCTCCTTCTTTCTGCACCCATATTCCTTTCACATATCATCATAAGTATAAAAAACTTAGCATTTTTCTTCTTGTGAAAACTAGCTTGGTTTTTTATTTCATTTCACATGGATGAAATTGAAGTTCCTCAGTATTTCATATGCCCAATATCCCTACAAATCATGAAAGATCCAGTTACTGCTATAACAGGAATAACATACGACCGAGACAGCATTGAGCATTGGCTATTCTCAAACAAGAACACAACATGTCCAGTTACCAAACAACCTCTCCCAAGAGACTCTGACTTAACCCCTAATCACACCCTTCGCCGTTTGATTCAAGCTTGGTGCACCCAAAATGCTTCACTTGGCATTGATCGAATTCCAACCCCTAAACCACCACTTAACAAGATACAAGTCCTTAAGCTTCTCAAAAACCTCACAGTCACAGACCCCAATTTGAAGCTCAAAAGTCTCAGAAAATTGGAGTTGCTTGCTGCAGAGAACGAGAGGAATAAGAAGTGTTTGCTAGAGGCAGGTGTTCCAAAAGCCACGATCTTTTTCATAGTGGGTTGTTTTATAAAGGGTCAAATTCATGAGGGTCTTGAAGAAGCTCTAAGTTTATTGCAGTTTGTTAAGGTTCCTGCAGAAGAAGTGAACCTGCTTCTAGCGGAAAATGATCAAATTTTGGATTCTCTAGCATGGGTTTTGGGTTGTGAAATGGAAAATTCCATTGCTGTGAAATCTCATGCGGTTTTAGTCCTCAAAAGAATCATCCAAAAGGGTGACCCTAGTGTTCTTGAGAGACTGAAAGTTGAGTTCTTTGATAAGATTGTGAAGATTCTACGAAATGGGGTTACCCAAAAAGGGATGAATGCTGCTCTGCATGTCTTGTTACGTGCTTGTCCATGGGGACGAAACAGGATCATGATGGTGGAAATTGGTGCTGTTTTTGAACTCGTTGAGATTGAATTAATGGCACCAGAGAAGAGAAACACAGAGCTTGCACTTGCTATACTTTTCCATTTGTGTTCTTGTGCCAATGGTAGAGCTCAGTTTCTGAGTCACAAAGGCTCAATTGCCATGTTAACGGATCGAATTTTGAAGGTTTCTGCAGAAGTGGATGAAAGAGCCGTATTTGTTCTCTCACTGATATCTAAATTCTCTGCCACAAAAATGGTCCTGCAAGACATGTTAAACGTTGGAACTGTGTCAAAGCTTTGCATGTTGCTTCAAGCTGATCATGCTAAATATCTAAAAGACAAAGCTATCGAAATTCTAAAGTCTCACTCTGAGGTTTGGAAGAATTCTCCTTGCTTTTCTGATCCGTCTTTTCATGCAAGTTTGGGGATTTAGGTGAAATACAATGTGTTATTTTTATAAACTTTTCTCTTTCCATGAGCCCCAAAGTTATTGCTGTCAATATCTTCAAGAAGCACAATTGAAAATAGTTTTCTTTTTTCGTATTGTATTTTTGGTAGATATCACAAAGTGTGTTTATTTTTATTTTATTTTTGGTAAATATCACCAAGTGTGTTTTAAGACAATGCCGCACCGTTACATGATAATTTTAAAATATTGAGAGGAAGAGAATTTGCACTTAGCAGGAGTAGCCTGGTCTATGCTTTGCAGTTAGCTTTCTGTGTTTTTATAAATTCCTGTAGACTTTCCAAAAAAAAAAAAAAAAAAAAAAGGAGAGAATTTTTTGTGTATTTTTCATTAAATACATGACTTCTTTTTTTTTTTTTGGTGAAAAAATACATGACTTCTTTAGTAAACCTTATTTGTCCAGTTATGTTTATTATTCTCAATTCACTTTTCATCTTTTTCTTTTTCTTTTTTTACGTTCAGGTTATAAATAAAATTAGTTTAGACAATTCTTAAATTTACTTAATTTTTTTTACCTACTTACTGTCAATTTAATAGTTATCTGAAAAATCAAGTATAGAATTTCATGGATAGTATTACCTAGATATTGGTTATATAAATTAAACGTCATATATTTTTGAGTAAATATATTTTTTGATCCCTGACAAAAAATACGGTCCCACTTTAGTCCTTTATAAAAATAAATTAGTCAATTAGTCCCTAACAAATTCAAGGTGGACCCATTTTAGTCATTTTGAGGGACTAATATGGGTCTTTTTTGAATTTGTGAGGGACCATGATTTCAACTAAATGGGTCCACTTCGAATTTGTTAGGGACTAACTGACTAATTTATTTTTGTAAGGGACTAAAGTGGAGACCGTGTTTTTTTGTTAAGGACTAAAAATGGTATTTACTCTATATTTTTAATCAATTAATCTTTATATATTAAATTAGAGTATATTCACCATAAAGCATATGTGGATTAACTGACTAGGTTATTTCACCTAAAATTTTATAGTGAATGAAAGTATATTCTCATGAAAGTAATATAATTTTTTAGTTTATTCTTTCTTTAAAAAATAACATATTTTTAATTTATTTTAAAAAAAATTAAATTCAAGTTCTTTATGAATAAAGTATATAATTTTTTATAATTTTAAAAGTATTATTTCAATATATTATTTTAAATAATATCTAACATAATTGTGTATGTATCTCTTTTATATTGTTAAATTGTAGAGTAACGAGACGAAATGAACATTGGAATAAATCCATGTATCATAGCAGCACAGCGGAAGCTATTATATATAGAACTACTGTGTGTATACAATATGAAATACATGATGTGGGATTAAGTTTATTGTAAGAACCTAGACCATTAAATTATGAATTTAAATAATTTAATTATGAGTATAGGAAATAACTCCATAATTGACTTTGGATAAATATAGAAAGACTAGAATAATCATCGAGAAGGTCAAATAATGCTCAAATCGATTTTCAGATGAGAAGTGCAGATATTGGTTCTGCTTCACGATATAAATGCGTACCAGTGAAGTATTTCAAAAAATTATAATATAAATATAAATATTCTAAGAAAAATATCTAGGTTAAGGATATCAAGTTTGCGGTAAAAATAATGAGCAGTGATGTCATAATTAATACAAGCTATGTATAAAATGCGTACTGGTGAAGTATTTCGAAAAATTCTAATAAAAATATGATAATTCTTAGAAAAATGTCTAGGTTCAGAAAATAAAGTTTGGCAGAAAAATGATTAGCGGAGCTATTAGAACTAATACTGTTGAATAGTGGGCACACTTATATAAATAACCATTTGCACTAAGCCCTAGGTCAGTTTTCTGATCCCAAGGTTGATCCCCATGGCTGCCACCTCTCCTCCTTCATGAAAACTTGAGCATTTTGTATTAAACCTAGCCAAGAAGTCACCTTTCTCCATATTCCTCCACTCTTATGGTATTGAACCACCATTAAACATTGTAAAGCTTGAGCCTTGTGAGAGAAAAACCATGTCTTGAGAGTTGAGATTCTGTTTGCATGAAAGGAAGGGCTGACCACTTGAGTTCTTAGAGTGTGAGCTACGATTACACTCTAGGAAGCTTCAAGAACCAAACTTTGTGAAGAAAGGACCTACCTTTGAGTGGGATTTTCATGCACCACCAAGTCAGTAGCTTGGAGCACCTTCAGAGATCTCAAAGCTTCCCCATTTTTCTGTTTTCTAAGGGCTATAGGTAACTATAAATCATTCCCCTTGTATTTTCTTGAAAATGACTTAGTTTGTGACGTAAAAAGGGGAAACCTTAATAATTCATGTAAAATATGGTAAAACTATGTTTAATCATGTGGTTTGAACTTCTATTTGATGAAAAATCGGACCTTGGACCCTTGGAAGCTAAGGAACCCGTGGACTATGCAGAAAAATTTGCAGTTTTCGTGTTCTATCCGCGTGGTAATCGATTACTCTCTACATGGTAATCGATTACCATGTGGAGTAATCGATTACCCTGTTTATGGTAATCGATTACCGTGTGCAGTAATCAATTACCCCCTATATGGTAATCGATTAACCCCTGTCAGAAAGACCAGAAACCTGTTTTGATGCGTAGGAAAGCCCCAATTAGGGTATGGTACCCTAGGGAGTCAGTGCTACTATTGAAAGTATAAATACAAATAATAGTAAGGGTTAATATGCTATAGTTATGGTGTAGAAGGGACTTGAGTCACTAAACGAAAAAGAAAACATTGCTCAATTTATATGAAATTTGGGATTCTGAATATTAATAATGTTTTGATATAAAACACATTGCAATTGTCGGATTGTGTGACTATTGGTGTATCTGTGTGCACCAAGCCTGTGGGTAGGGATTTTGGCACTTAGGTAAGCTTCGTGTCCTCGGTTTTACCATTTGATGGTTCCACCAAACCTCATGGAAGGATGGTTTATATGCATGATGTGTTTTTCCAAAAATATATCTGTTTACATGATGATTATTGGGTATGCTGCTGAGCTGGATTATTATTATATATAGTGCATTTGGCATATGTATATGTATGTGGGGTATTCCACACGAGACGGTAATCCCTGAGCATATCGGGCCACATACAAGATGGTAACTCCTTGTGTGAGATACATGGTGGACTCCTTGTATTGTCGGTTGTAGACATACATAATTCCTACCTTTTATTCTCTGGCCAGTAGGATGCATACATACATGACATGGACATATGCTGCATTGCACAGATTTTGCCATTATACTATTGTTATCATTTTGAACTTATATTACGCATGAAACTGAGCTTAGGGTGGAGAGATCCTTGAGGACCCATTTTCTTACTGATTTCTTGTTAGGCAGATTTTCAGGTACAGGTACTTCTGAGGATGAGACCTCTAGTGGCAGGAGGCTGAAGTTGAGTTGAGATGATGCATGCACCTTTCTATGTTATTATGATTTCTACCTTGCTGTTATACCATTATGGCTATTGTATTTGAGACATGCTTTGATGATTATGTTGCTTTATTTGGTGAGCATGAGGGTAGTCAATGCCACATTTGAATAAGCTGTGATATTCAGACTGGAATTGTATTATTGTATCAGGACATGTCTGGTCTACGTGTTGTAGTTCCTTGACTTGATACATTATTTATATTATGAGATTATTCAGTTTAGTTATTTATTGCAATTTACGTACAGGCGATTTTTGGAAAAGGATTCACTGAGTTAATATGAATGAATCATAATTGGAAATTTTTAGCTTTCGCATTTATTGAGCTGCACTTATTACCATTTATATGTTTAATACAATGATGCACACAAGGTGTTACATCTATACTACTTCTACTATATATATAAACACTCGCTCTCAAGCTGGAGCGTATAAATCATGAGTGTAAGAACCCGCACCGTTAATTTAGGAAATTAATTAAATAAATATGAGAATTAGGAAATAATTCTATAATTGACCCTAATAAATATGAGAAGACTTAAATAATTATAGTAAGTGATTAAGAATACTGAAAGTCGATTTTCTGACGAAAAGTGCAGATATCGGTTATGCTCCACGGTATAAATGCATACCGATGAAGTATCCCATAAAATTATGAAAAACATGTATATGTCACCAGAATAATATATAGGACTAGCATAACAAGTTTCAGGTCAAGATAATGAGAACTGGTGCCAGAACTGATACTGGCTAAGTAAAAGCGCGTACCGAAAAGGTGCTGCGAAAAATAAAATAAAAATATGACAAATCTTTAAAAAATGAGTAGGTTCAAAATCCTAAATTTGGGATTAAAATGCTAAGCGTAGCTATTAGTACTAATACAAAGTAATTAAAACTTAATGAGATTATATATATAGGAGTGGCACATGATCCTAGGTCTATTCTTGTGCCTCCATCGTACGAAATTTTAGAGCTTGAACTCTCCTTGCTGCCACCTCCTTCCTTTCTTGAAAACTCACCAAATAAACCACCTTTCTTCCATTTCTCTTCACAAAATACCTTGTGTGAGTGAGAGGGATCATTGGGGGTGAGTGAGAGGCCTTGCTTCTGAGTTTGGAGTTCTATTTTTTTAGAGTTTTGGAGCTGACTTGTTGGTTTGAGTGTTGGGAAGCCATTGCTCCTTGCTTGTTGAGCTTCAGGGAGCCACCTTTGGTGAGAAAGAACCTTGATTGCTTGTCATTTTCGTGTCCTTGTGGAAACAGAACCTTGGGGGCTGATTGGTGAGCTCCATGAGCAATTGTTGCTCTGTTTTGAGCCTTAGGTAAGTGTCACCAACCTTGATCATGAGTTTTCCTTGTTTAAAGGTTGTGTCTTGACATGTTAATAAGATGAACAAGTAACCAACGCGATAACTGGTCTAAAAGGCTTAAAGATGCATGCTTTAACGTTTTAAAGTGTTAAAAACCCAACCTTGGAAGTGATATCTCGCGAAATGCAGAACTGCATTCTGTCGCGAAATATCCGGATACGATATCCGGATATGATATCCTGATATTGATATCCCGATATGGGGTCTTGAGATATCCGAATATGGATATCCGGATATGTCCCCGACATATATCTGGATATTCTGGGTTTTCGAGGACAGTAAGGGTACTGTTCATACAGAATGCCATTTTGGGTTTGAGAACCCATGTTTGGTCAATATGGACTTCTGTAATAAATAACCTAAGTCAGAATCAAAGTGATTAAGGACTTGAGGCTTTGTGAGAAGCCTAAAGACATGAAACGTAAAGGAAAGATGTTGTCTTTATGTCATATGCTTGTAGAGTATAGATATTGATTTGATTGTTGGTCTAAAACAGATTGTGATCTTGCTGTTTGTGGACTTTGAGCTTGTGTGGACTCTTGGCTTGGATAGTTAGCTTGCAAGGTAAGCTTTTGTGTCCTCGGTTTAGCCATTGTTGGTTCCACCATATCCCATGGGGGGATGGTTTATATGCATTATGTGTTTTCATGTATTGTTTTATTGAAAAGCTATCGAGCTGTTGAGTGCAAATGCCTTATGATATGTATATGGTGTTCGCCTAGACGGGATGTGATCCTGTGGGCAGGTACGGCATGGGCGCGTACTGTGTGGATAATAGACGTATTCTTGCATCTCTCTGGCCAGTAGATTTGTTATAACACACATGACATGATTATCTGCTGCATTGCACTGGTTTTGGAACTTATACCGTTAAACTGCTTTTGGAACTTATATTGCACATGTAAGTGAGCTTGGGGTAGAAGATCCTTGAGGACCCCTTGTCTTACTGAGATTTCTGTTTAGAGATCTCACCCCACGTTTGGGGCACATATTTCAGGTTCAGATAACCCAGGGGTTGAGACCTCGGGCGGGAGGAGGCCGGAGCTGAGCTGAGGTGTTTGATGTTATGCTGATATGACTGGCTGTTATTATGATTTACTGCCTTTATTATTATGATTTTGTTGTTGAGACTTGTTGGGCTTGTGCCTTATTTGGTGAGCATGGGATTGTCCATGTCACATTGACTTGACTTTATGCTTTTAGTTTCGAGTTGTATAATTGTATCAGGATTATGTCCGGTCTACGTGTTGTAGTTCTGTGACTTAGATACTCACTTATTATATATGAGGTTATTCAGTGTAGATAGCTGTCTTTGCAATTTACATACAGGCAATGTTTTGGAAATGAATTAAGTAATCAACTTGGTTAAGGATAATGACGTCATAATTGAAAGTAAAAAGTTATTCTGCATTTTTAATTAAGTGTGGCTTAATATGATGACATGATAATAATACACGAGGTGTTACAATAAGCACCAAGCTTGTTACATATATACTCTATTCAAGGGCATGTCAAAGACTTAGTAAATACATCTGCTAATTGATCATTAGAGGATACAAAACTGGTCATAATTTCACCAGCAAGGACCTTGTCTCAAACAAAGTGACAATCAATATCGATATACTTGGTTATTTCATAAAACACCGAATTGGAAGAAATATGTTGTGCTACTTGTTTATCCCAAATGAGAGTTGCTGGTCCAGTGTCTCCAAACTTGAGCTCTCTAAGAAGTTGCTTTAGCCAAATTAGCTCGCAAGTAGTAGTAGCCATAGAGCAATACTGTGCTTCATCACTTGATCTGTAACTATGTCCTGCTTCTTACTTTTCTAGGAAACCAAGTTGCCTCCAAAATAAGACACAATATCCAGTAGTAAATCTCCTATCAGTAAGACAATCGACCCAATCAACATCACAATCGACCCAATCAACATCAGAGTATCCAACAACTTTAACATGACCTTTGTCTTCATATTCAAGGCCTTTTTCCTGGAGATGCCTTGATATACTTGAGAATACGAATGACAGTATTCTAGTGTTCTTGACATGGAGAATTAAGAAACTGACTTACCACACTAACTGTAAATGAAATGTCAGGCCGAGTGATTGTAAGGTAGTTCAGTTTTCCAACCAATCTTCTATACATTTCATGATCTAAAAAGGGTTCCCCCTGATTCAGTAGAATCTTATCATTTGGATCCATAGGGGTATCAACAGACCTAGAATTTAACAAAGTATTCTCTTCAAGAATATCCAGAGCAAATTTCCTCTGAGATACCACAATTCCATCTTTAGATTGGGTCATCTCGAATCCCAAGAAATATTGAAGCTTCCCAAGATCCTTGGTCTGAAAATGATGTCATAAATGTTGCTTCAACTGAGTGATCCCAAGATTATCACTACTTGTGATGATAATATCATCAACATACACCAGCAAGTAGATAGACCCGAAAGCGGAATAACGATAAAATAGATAATGATTAGCCTCACTCTGAGTCATACCAAATTTTTGAATAACATTGCTAAATATGCTAAAGCAAGCTTGTGGAGATTGCTTGAGACCATATAGAGACTTGCAGAGACGACAAACAAGACCCGACTCCCCCCTGAGCAATAAACCCAGGAGGTTGCTTGATATGCCTCCAGCATATATATGATTTTAAGCCAAAAAGAGAAAGAAATCTTGATCAATCTTGGATAAAAGGGCTAGAATTGTTATTTAATTGATAAATCTCAATCAGAGATCGTGTAACTGATTTTCTTCTAATTTTGTAGGAAAACAGGACAAAAAGAAGCCCAAATTGGAAGCACAAACCTGAAGCCCCGCGTTACTGGCGCGGGTGTGACGCTGACAGTGCTAGAAGAACTTTTTCATCCAGAACCTCCACGCTATTAGCGTGGCATTCGCGCTAGCAGCGCCAGCCAATCGTGCCAACCACGCTGTCAGCGTGGGAACCACGCTAGTAGCGTGAACTTCCAGTACTTAAACAAAACTCCCACGCTATCAGCGTGGGATCCACGCTAGTAGCGTGGGAGGTACGGGAAAATTAGTAACATATGTCAGACTAAATCCGAGACGAATGGACCCAAGATACACCATAAAGATATGATCAAGATTTCTAAGCAAGGGCACAAAGTCTATAAATAGAAACTCAGACCCCATAAGACAGACATCTTTGGCTGGAGAGAACTGTGAGACCCAGAGAATTGAGAGAATTCTTGGAGACTCACGTTGGAGATCAAGATTCTGCCAGAGTTGAAGACTGAAGACCATTGATCTTCTTTTTTCTTCTTCTTTTCTTTTTCTTTTATGAACAATTTTTACTCTTTTAATTTGTTTAAGTCAGACATAAATATGTCTGGCTAATTTCTTTTTGTAGTTGGGATCACGGACCCAATGTGAATCCTTTATATTTTCTGAATTGTTTTATAATTAATGTAGTTTATGTAGCTTTATTCTGCCTGTGTTAATTTTTCCATATCCTGGTTAGAACTGGCCATTCTAATTATAAGGCTTTGAGAGTTAGGGCTCACAATAGACATATTGGAGTTTTAATCTGGACAAGAGTAGAATAACAATTTGTGTATGATCTAGACATAGGCTTACATAGATTGCAGACTTTTGATTCATTTGCTTAATGCTTAATTCAAGAGGAATTACTAGGACACTAGGATTCTAATTGGGTTAAGGGTTGAAATCACTAAGACATTAGGGTTCAACTATTTAATAGGGACATAAAGAATTATCTGAGTTACTGAATTACTTAGTTATAAAATACAACTTAGGAATATAAGGGAAGATCGAAGGTGAAGTGCATCTTGGCTACAATCTTTTTACAATCTTTAATCAATCTCATATTTTCCGTTACGTTCTTGATTTTTCTTGCATGCATTTTCATATTATTGTTTTTAAAATTCTATTTTTAAAATTCCAAAATCAATTACTTTCATAAATTAAACAAATTTTCTTTTCCAACTTAAGGGGAATAATTAAATTAATACTTAGTGCATTAATCCTCGAGGGAACGATCTTTACTTATCACTTTTATTACTTAAAACGAACGGTATACTTTCTGATTTCACAACAAGTCTTTGGCGCCGTTGCTGGGGATTAATCACGCCAATATTAGTTTTAAGTTTCGATCTTTGAGATTGGAATTTTTATTTTATTTTTATTTTGTTACTGATTTGATTTCTCTCTTTTATGCGAGGTAAAGCTAATAGCGAACCTTTACAGTTTGATCCAGAAATCGAAAAGACTGCAAAGAAGAACCGGAAGCTAACCAAACTAAGGAAGCAAGAGGAATCCTCGAGTTCAGAGCTAAAAGCAGAACACGAGATGGCAGCGCATAATCCACCACCGGGTGAAGAATTGATGGAGTCAATCCTGGCTCCACTGTTTACAAGGCCAAATTCAAGCATCGTCAGACCACCCATCAATGCCAACAATTTTGATATCCAGCCAACACTGATATCCTTGGTGGAGAAAAATCCATTTGGCGGGGAAGATTATGAAGACCCCTATGATTTCGTGGACAGATTTTTTAGAATATGTGACACTACCAAGTATAACGGGGTGTCAGATGATGCAATTAGACTCTGATTATTCCCTTTTGCTGTAACAGGGAAAACTCTCAGATGGTTGGATAGACAAGCCCCCAACAGTATCAGAACATGGGATGAACTGGCGGCCAAGTTCTTCGCGGAGAACTTTTCCATGGAAAAATATAATAAGTTGGTTAATGAAATTACCAACTTCACTCAACATCCAGGAGAAACCTTATGTGCAGCTTGGACCAAATTTCAAGAACTGATCAGAAAGTGCCCCCAATACGATCTGCCAGATGGAAAAAAGTCAGAGTCTTCTACAATGGAATGACACCAGATTGCAGAATGGTTGTCAATGGTGCAACTGGTGGAGACATAGGGAAGAAGACAACAAGCTCAAACTTTAGAGCTAATCAACTACATGGCAAGGAATGAGAATGCATCAATGGCAGTTCAACCTATTCAACCAAGAAAGGGAATTCTGCAATTGGGAAACAATGATGCATCGCTAGCAGAACAAAAGATTCTATCTCAACAGATCGCCAGTTTGAATGCTAAGTTGGACAAGATGCAACTTTCTATAGTTCAAGTTAACTCGGTTAACTGTGAGTATTGCAAAGGAGAGCACGAGACCAACGAGTGCCGAACATAGGTAGGATCAGATGCACTACAAGTTAACGAAGTCTGATATGAACCAAAACCACAACAGAACTTCCAGAGAAACCAAAACAATGCTCCAGGGAACAACTTCCAAAGGAGAATTCAAGTGGGAGGTTTGGATTACTATTCCAACAATTATTTACAACGTCCTCCAATTCCATAAACTCAATCATTTGAGCTAGAGAGTGCTGATACAGTTGACAAAGACAACTGACATATTTATGAATGAGACAAGGGCTCATCAACACAAATCAGGATGCATCTCTCAGAAACTTGGAAGAGAGGACTAAAGGCAAGTTTCCAAGTAACACAATAGTCAATCCGCGAGAAGAATGCAAGTCAATTGTTACAAGAAGCAGAATTGTGATCACTTCTCAAGAAAAACAAAAAGTGGTTCAGAAAAAGAAAGCTGACGAACCAGTAATTGAACCAGAGCAAGAAAAAGAGGAGGAATTACCTGCAACCGAAGAACCCGCAACAAAAGACAAAGAAGAAGCAAAGGAAAAAGTTGTAGAGAATCCAAAGAAGCGATGGGATTTCTCGCGCTTTGAGAAAAAACCATATTCCATAAAGTCAAAGCAGTATGCACAAAAGCAACAACATGCCAGGTTTTTAGAAATATTTAAAAGTTGCAAATTAATATTCCCTTTGCTGAAGCTTTAGCTAACATGCCTAACTATGCTAAGTTTATGAAAGATCTTTTGTCTAGAAAGCATAAGTTGTAGGAATTTAAAACAGTGGCTCTCATAGAAGAGTGCAGTGCCATAATTCAGAAAAAGTTTCCACCAAAGCTTCGAGATCCAGGGAGTTTCAACATCCCGATTGCGATAGGCAACATTAACGTTGGCCATGCATTGTGCGATCTTGGAGCAAGCATTAACCTCATGCCGCTTTCGGTGATGAAGTCGGTCAGAATTTCTGAGTTGAAGCCTACAATGGTGTCTCTCCAACTAGCTGACAGAACATTAAGAAGACCGAATGGAGTAATAGAAGACGTACTTGTCAAGGTGGACAAGTTCATCTTTCCTGCTGACTTCGTAGTCCTCGACATGGAAGAAGAAGGAGACATGCCTCTTCTGTTGGGTAGGCCGTTCCTGGCCACAGCCAGAGCAATGATTGACACAGAGAAAGGAAAGCTGGAGCTGAGAATGGATGATGAAAAGGTCACCATTAATGTGTTCAGTGCTATGAAGCACGCTGAAGATAATGGCGACTGCTTTCGAGTGGACATTATTGAGAAAATGTTCCTTGAAAAGAAATATGATCATACTATTGAAGAAGAGAAAGAATTCTTTGATGAAAATCTGCCAAAGGAAGATGCTGAAATTCCAATGGAAGAAATGAAGAAGAAAGAATCAGACATCACAACTGAAGCACCAAAGGTGGAGTTAAAAGAGCTTCCACCTAATCTAAAATACGTCTTCTTAGTAGATAAAGAGACGTATCTTGTCATCATCAACAAGTAGTTATCCAAGACTGAAGAAACCAAGTTGATGAAAGTGCTCAAAGACGACCAAACAACCATAGGATCGTCCATCTCGGACCTAAAATGAATCAATCCTTCCTTCTGCACTCACAAAATATTGATGGAAGACAACATCAAACCAGTGAGACAGTCTCAGTTATGACTCGATCCTACTATGAAAGAGGTAGTTCGAAAGGAAGTGGTGAAACTCCTTGATGCCGGGAAGATTTACCCAATCTCAGACACTGCATGGGTAAGTCTAGTTCAAACAGTGCCAAAGAAGGGTGGAGTATAGTGATCAAGAACGAGAACAATGAGCTGATTCCCACCAGAACAATAACTGGGTGGAGGATGTATGTGGATTATAGAAGATTAAATGTTGCCACACGGAAGGATCACTTTCCTCTCCCTTTCATTAATCAGATGCTGGAGAGGTTGTCCGGACATGCATACTATTGTTTCTTAGACGTTTACTCCGGCTACAACCAGACACCTGTCGCACCAGAGGATCAAGAGAAGACAGCTTTCACTTGCCCCTTTGGAGTGTTCGCTTACAGAAGAATGCCATTTGGCCTCTGCAATGCACCTGCTACTTTTCAAAGGTGTATGCTTTCCATCTTTTCTGATATGATTGAAAAATCATTGGAGGTATTTATGGATGACTTTTCTATCTTTAGTTCTTGCTTTGATTCATGCTTAGTTAATTTATCTAAAGTATTGAAGCGTTGTCAAGAAATAAACTTGGTTTTAAACTGAGAAAAATGTCATTTTATGGTAAAATATGGAATGGTATTAGGCCATAAAATTTCTGAAAAAGGGATAAAAGTAGACAAAGCTAAACTGTTATTAATTGAAAAACCTCCCCCTCCTGCTAATGTCAATGGGGTTCGAAGCTTTTTAGGCCATGCATGTTTTTACAGACGATTTATCAAGGACTTCTCCATGATTGCAAAGCCATTGAGTCAACTCTTGGTGAAAGACAATGACTTTAAATTTGATGAAGAATGTATGAAGTCCTTTAATCTTTTGAAGGAAAAACTGACAACCGCGCCTTTCCTGATGGCGCCTGATTGGAACCTTCCATTTGAGCTAATGTATGATGCGAGCACATACGCAATTGGAGCAGTACTCGGTCAGCGTAATGATAAGTTATTACATGTAATTTACTATGCTAGCAAAGTTTTAAATGATGAACAAGTTAATTATGCCACAACTGAAAAACAAATGTTAGCAGTAGTATATGCATTAGATAAATTTAGACCTTACTTGATAGGATCTAAAATCATTGTTTTTACTAACCATGCTGCATTGAAGTACCTTATGAATAAACAGGATGCAAAACCACGGCTGCTACGTTGGATGTTTTTCTTCCAAGAATTTGATATGGAAATTCGAGACAAAAAGGGAGTTGAAAACAAAGTAGCTGATCACTTGTCAAGGATTCAAGACAAGGAATTGCATGATGGACCTGAAATTGAGATAAAAGAATCCTTCCCTGATGAACAAGTGATGGCAATTCGATTTGGACCATGTTTCGCAGAATTTGCGAATTACAAAGCTGTAGGATCAATTCCCGGAGAACTAACATGGCAACACAAAAAGAAATTCTTGCATGATGCAAAGTAGTACTGCTGGGATAACCCATACCTATATTTTCAATGTACTGATAGGATTATTCGCAGGTGTGCAACTGAGATGGAGACTCCAAAGATTCTTTGGCATTGCCACGCTTCAGATTACGGAGGACACTTTGGTGGAAATAGAACTGCAGAGAAAGTCCTGCAAAGTGGGTTCTACTGGCCAACAATATTCAAAGACTCGAAGGAGTTCATAGAGAAGTGTGACGGATGCCAGAGGACGGGAAACATTTCCCGAAAAGATGAGATGCCACTGAATTGCATACTGGAAGTGGAAGTCTTTGATGTATGGGGAATTGATTTCATGGGACCTTTCCCTATGTCATATTCCAATCAATACATCTTGGTTGCTGTGGACTACGTGTCAAAGTGGGTGGAAGCAGTGGCTTTACCGATAAATGATGCAAAGGTAGTCGTATCCTTTCTGCGGAAGAATATCTTCACCCGATTCGGAGTTCCAAGAGCCATCATCAGTGATGGAGGAACCCACTTCTGCAACAAATAATTTGAGATTCTTCTCACGAAGTTTCGAGTCACGCATAAAGTGGCTACACCATATCATCAACAAACAAGCGGGCAAGTGGAGATTTCCAACAGAGAACTAAAGAGGATCCTAGAGAAGACTGTGGGCAACACGAGAAAAGACTGGGCAAGGAAGCTTGATGATGCACTCTGGACATATAGAATAGCGTTCAAGACTCCCATAGGTATATCACCATTCCAACTGGTGTACGATAAGTCCTATCATCTCCCTGTTGAATTAGAGCATAAACTATATGGGCAACTAAATTTCTAAACTTTGAACCAACTAAAGCTAATGACAAACAATTACTGCAATTACTTGAGTTGGATGAGTTCAGGTTAGCTGCTTGTGAGAATGCCAGGATCTACAAGGAGAAAACCAAGAGGTGGCACGACAATAAGATAGTTCCGAAGGAATTTGAGCCAGAACAACAGGTATTATTGTACAATTCTCGATAGAGATTGTTTCCAGGTAAACTCAAACCCCGCTGTCCCTTTGTTGTTAAAAAGGTATATCCCTATGGCGCAGGAGAAATTTCTCCTATAGACACTGATAATCCTTTCAAAGTTAATGGCTGTAGGCTGAAATTCTACTACGGAGGATAGGTATATAGGGACAAGGTTTCTGTCCCTTTGACTTCACCTGAGTCTTAGACTGTTCGCGTCAGGCTCGTGAAGTTAAACAAGCGCTAATTGGGAGGCAACCCAGTATTAAATTTTAATTTTCTTTGTTTAATTTTATTTTATTAAGTTAATTAATTGGTGAAGTGTGACAATTTGGAAAAATTCAAAATTCTGAGACTGGCGCTATTAGAGCCAATCTGGCGCTAGTAGCGCCACAAAACCAAAAAGAGACAGAAGTTCTGCGCTCATAGCATGAAGTTCACGCTAGCAGCGTCAGTTATGCCAAGTTCCAGTAGTTTACGCCAACAGCGTGAAACTGGCGCTGACAGCGCCACTGGGTCAAAAAATTCCAGTAGCTCAGCGCTGACAGCGCCAGGGTGGCGCTATCAGCGCCAGAAACCCACGAAAGACTCGCGCCAACAGCGTGAGGTCCACGCTGACAGCACCACTGGACCCAAAAGTTACAGAGGCTTCGCGCTAACAACGTGAACTCCATGCTGTCATCGCCAGCCCCAAAATCAGATTTTTAAAATCCTGAACCCTAATTTTCCCCCTTCACTTTCCACTCTTTCTCTCACAAATCCTTGTCTCTCTAATTTTCTTTCTAAACCTCTGCAACCAAACCAAGCCCAGACAACCACTGGACCTCATCTTTATCTCTCTCCCTCCACCACCATGCCTCACACCCCATCATCATCACCGGTGAGCACCAAGCCACCACAAACTACCCAAACTCTCATCTCTTTCTCGCGTGGAAACCTCACCTTTGAATCCTCCAAGCCAACTCCAGCTGCCATTCTCTTCTTCCTCGCTACCCGACCACCGTTTCCACCAACACAATACCTCCCTCAGCCCATACCTCACCTCCACCTCTTAAACACCAACCACCGCACCTAAACCCTCATCTTCATACTCCCTTCCTCTCAACCTAATAGCCATAGCCAGCCACCACTGGTTCCTTCTTCCCATCCATACACCACCCGAGGAACAACACCAGCCTTCCACTACCGCCAGCCTCAACCCTCCAACCACCCAACTGCTTCCCTTCATCCTCATTAGCTCATAATTCACAGCCACAGGTTCATCACAAATTGGTGAATATTTTTGGGCTCCTACTGCTTTTGGGAAAGTTAGGGTTTTTCATTTTAACAATTCTTCCATTGCACAATATGGCTAGCGAAAAGGTACACTCCCACACTTGAGTTCCATTAGAAATTGATTGAAATAGTGCATATTGAAATTAAATTGAATTTTTTTTGTATGCCATGTGTGAACAATTGTTATGTGAGAGTATCCACAAATTAGAAAAGTCTCAATGTTGGTTATAAATATTCATGCTATGGATTGATACCAGCATATGTTGGTACTGCTTAATTAGGTTATGTTCAAATTACATGCTCTATTAATGCAAAATTAGGCAGATTTTATCCATAGTTGCCATCACATGTGAGTTACTGATTTAGATTGAGGCTTGTGTTAAAATACAGGGTAATGAAATGATTGATATACATGCTAGTAATAAAATGAATTCTCATAAAAGGCGATTGATCCATTTAGTTGTTAAGATATTTGACAATTAGTTTGTGACCGCATCAATATAATTGTCCCTGATTTGGAAAGTTTAGATGGATAGTCTATATAAACAACATTGAAGATCTGTATGGACAGGCATGTGAGCATAATTATATGGAGTGGAATTGAAAATACTGATATTCTAATTGCTCACTGGCTGTGAAAATTTTAATGACTGACAATTCGTGCCGTTGGACCAATAACCTCATTGACACGAGCTGTCAAACTCGTGCAAATTAATTAAATTAGGTTTATTAAAAATTTGTAGTAAAGCGTCAACCTAAGTCGTCTCTCAAGGAGTTTGCAAGGATCTTAATCGCTCAGTTATAAAAATAAAAATAAAAATAAAATGGAAACCAAATGAAAATGGAAACTAAATGAAAAGAGAAAATAAAGAGAAACGGAAACTAAAGAAAAACAGAAACTAAAATGGGGGGGGGGGGGGGGTTTAATATGATTGTAAATTTAAACGGAAATAAAATAAAATAAAAAGTAATCAAATTAAAAGCAATCAACCCAAGAATTAGGATTCCAAGCATATCCATCATTGGACAAATAATTACCAAATCGCTATTGATCTCAATTGAATCAGAATCCTTATTTCCAATTTAGAACCCTCTCTAAGCGATCGCTTAGCGTTTGGTCG